CCCCACCCCCACCATCCGAGTCCCATCACCACCCACGCACCTCCAGTGGTCCATCCACCTGGCAAACAGGAATACCAACAGTGTCCTTACTTCTGGAAAGTCTTCCATGACATCTTTTCCCTACTTCATGTCACCAAATACCAGACAACCAACAAGAGCCCTCGCCTCTCCTCCATTTGTTACATTGTATCATTCACTGTATCATTTGATGCCATCCATACAGTGAGAAATAAAATGCATGTGGCCCCTGCCCTCACAGAATCACTAGATAAATAAGAAGCTAGGGGCAAGTAATGAGGAGTAAAGTAAGAAGGTACTGGAGACAGGCGACAGATGAAGGCCTTGAAGAAACGCAATTTCAACAGAAAGTGGAAGATGAAAACAGCCGGCCATGCATGGGACAGGGAGAAAAACAACCCAGGCTGAGAGGAGAGCAGGCGCAGAGACCGCGAGTGAGCGCGACAGACCCCACCCACGGGCTGTGGGGGATGAGCTCAGATCACACAGGCAGATGGCTCCTGGCAAGGCGCTGTGTGGTAATCCCTGATCTGGGAGCCGTGATGATTTGATGTTAGCTCTGTCTTGTTGCGTGTGCCTTTGTGTTCCTCCCATTGGTTCATTTCCCTCCCTTCCGAGCTGAGAATGAACCCTTCCTAGGCAGGGCTGCCTTTTGCTCGCGTTTGCATCTCTGGCACTAGTCCATTCAGTGAATTGTGGATGGATGAGAAACACAGTTGATCCCTGACCACCTGACTCGATTTCATCTGTCTGCTCTCTCCACTTCCTTTTCCCTTCCAGAGGGAAGGAAGAGGTACCAATTGGCTTCTCCAAATGCAGAAAGAGGGTGCAGAACTAAGTGACCAGAGGAACTGGCCTGACCTTCGTCCCAAGATAACCTTGGCACCTGAGACACAAAAGTCCACAGCCTGGAACTGCGGGAGACTCTGAGTGCCTTGGCAGCTTCTGGCAGTAGCAACGGTGCCCAGAAAGACTGGGCGCCTTTTATGGATTCATTCGTGTCTTCCATGCATGCCTGAAACTTGTGATCACTTTGTCCCCATTGTTTAGAAACTGACCTTACATAGTATCTGGTAAAAACAAACTGAGAAATATCTGCTTATCTGTGCATGATCAGATCTGTGGCAACAAGCACTGATGGTGTGCACACTTTTCTATTTCAGTTTAACACACATTTCCACGTCAGGCAGAGAAGTGCCAGGAACAGCAAGCAATACAACCTCTGCCCTCAGAGAGCATGCAGTCTGGTTACAACACACTAGGTTTGTAAGCAAATGAGTGGCGTGAAACCCTAACTGCTGTTTTGTAGATACTAGTTCAATTGACACATAAAGTGATCCATTTTGCCTGGGGAGGAAAGGGAGATGGGGGGCATTGGAAAGATTTCCATTTAGGAGGAAGTAAGTGTTCACGGATGAACAGAAGAGAGAAAGGGCCCTGCAGGCACAGGAAGAAGCATTGGCAAACGGGCAAAAAGGTCAGAAACCCAAGTCTCGTGGACTACAAGAATATTTGATAAGATTTAAGAGGTGGAGGCTGGCAAGCAGGGAGGTGGGCAGTGGTAGAGCTCTAGGGGGATTTGTGGCTGGCTTGGACTTTGCCCTGCTGGTGCCCAACAAGGTGTGGGATAAGGTCATGTTTACACCAGGGCAGGGCTGCTGAGCTGGCAGTGTGGAGATTGAAGGAGAGGAGTTTCGTCCAGGAGGCCAGGATCTCAGTCCAGGCACAAGTGAGGACTGTCCCTGAGTAGTGTGGAGGAAGAGGGAAGATTCTGCAGCATGAAGGAGTTGGAGTTGCCAGGACCAAGGGGTGCCTGGGATGGAGAAGGAGAGGTGAGGAGCCATGGCCAGCTTTTCAGGGTCCCTGAGGTGTGCGGTGGAAGCTTTCTTGGAGGCAGAGTACAGAGAAAGCTGTAGATTTGGCATCTGGTTGAATTTGAGTGCTCAGCCCCACACTTCAGCCTGGTAATTGGGGCCTAGGCCTCACACGTGGTGGCCCCATCTAAACCTTTCCTGGTCACACCATTTTCCACAAGAAAAGACAAGTGTGGGACGCAGAGGGCACATGCACCTGGACCCAGGGATCCTCCTTCTAAGCCTCACTGCAGGTAGTGCAGGCTGGGAGAGGCCTGCTGGGGAGCCCAGCCGTATCCTCGCCCAGGTCTGTCCCCCGGACAGTGGCCACACTGCTGATGCACACAGCCCTGTCCCAGGAAGTGGCAGGGGTACTTTCAGGACGTGGAGGTGAAGTGTTGATGTAGAGCCCAGATGTCCTCCCACACACGTGTGTCTAAGGCCTCTCGCAGGGCTGGGCACAGTACAGCCTGGGAGAGCAGGGGCTCTCCATTTGTCTCCCACGAATATTAGACACAAACCTGGAGTCTTCTCTTTCAAGACTAACTGCAGTTTCAGTCCACCCCACTCTAGCCCACCCAGGTTTGCTTCCCTCCGCTTCCAGATCATCTTGTCTACCCTCTAGTGAATTGATTCTTAATTTTTCATCAGCAGGAATCCAGAAACTGCTGCATAGACTCTACATTCGGTTGCAAATATCAAACCCCAGAGGCATTGAGTTGCAGAGGTGACTCGGGGGCTTAAGTGAGGAGCTCTCTGTGGAAGGTTTTGGAGCCGCTAAGCTGTAATTCAGAGGAGCAGATGGAGGTCGGGAAGGCCGCACAGTGCCTGCATCTCATGTGGATCCAGGAAAGACAAAGGCAGGGGCTGCTTTGCTTTCAGGCCCGTGGTCCTGGCCCAGTCACCGCTGCAGTCTTCCTTCTGTCTTTCATGGAATCTGTAGGCCTCCCTCTTCCTCTCTCGCTGCTCCTGTTACAGCCCAGAACCTGCTCCTGGGCAGCAGCAACCATCTGGATATCTTCTCTATGTCTGGCCACCCCACCCACTCATCAGCCTTCCAATAATCTCATCTGAAAACACAGCCTTTCCCGTTGGCCTCTTAATTTCTCCCTCCTCCGGTGACTTTTTTTTTCTCCCCCTGAACCCTTATTATTATGACTTTATAGAACACTGGGGGGCAGAGTGCCTAGAAAACACGTGCTGTAAAGTCAGTGCAGATGGCCGTATCTCCGAATTGTCCGCATCTAGTCCAGCTGTGCAACTTCACCGGTCCAGCTGTTTACTCGCACTCAGTTCACCGGCTTGGGGATATGGGTCCCTGCTTAAAAGCTGCTCAATTCCTGGTCAGAAGCTGCACTTGCGGTTGACCTTAGCACATCGTGATTACCTGGAGAGCAACCCTGCCAGATGACCAAGCCCACGTGGGGAACAATACCAATTCCGGCCCCGCAGGGAGCTGCCTGACATTGGTTTTCCTGTGGTGTTTCAAGCCCTGACAGCTCCTCACCATTGTTTTTGGGGCAGGGGGCACCTTATTGCCTTCCTTGAAAGTAAATACTCCTCCCCTCCTTAAATCTTGAGGAGGAGAAATAACTGGACATCCCAAAAAGGTCACAGATAACCGAAAGAAAAGGGCACATGTGTCTGCGTCATTTCCAAGAGCCCTGCACAGTTCCTGTTAGTTAGCTTGTTCTGTGCTCCCCTCAAGTGGGGAGAAGCCCAGGATCGCTCTGTCAACAGCTCTATCTATAGCAGAATCCCCATCCCTCACCCCGATGTCTCTACTTGCACCAGGCTCACTGACCCCGAGGCTCAGCTGTGAGAATCAATCATATCCTTCCAGAGTTCATCACTCAGCAGCTGCGAAGCCTCAGCTATTTTTATCGCCCCAGGAAGCCGTGGCCAAGGACGCGCTGGGCTACCTTCACAGGAGGTGTTGCTGCAGTAATGAGCAGCGGTTCTCAGGGCAGCTGAGCCTCTGCCTCAAGGTTAAATCCAAAGTGGCTGACCTGGAACAGGAGAGCACTTGATCTTCCACTCTGTGGCAGAGGCTGATGCTGGCCGAGCAGACGTCCCAGGGAGGGGATCGGGCTGAGGCCACTGCGGAAGGGCTCTAGGTGGGAGGGAGAGGGATAATGGAGACCTGCGTGTGCTTGTACCTGGGTTTCTCCTACCCAAGCAGAGACACGGAGCAATCAAAATAGCTGGGCCCCAGGCCTCAATCACCTGTGCAGTCCCAGCCCAGGAGCCTCTACTTTGCTGTATTTCTGTCTGCAGCCACCCCTTGCAAGACACCCACAGTAGGTCAGGCCCTGGGTGGGGACTGGGGCTGCAGGATGTGCCTGGAGTCCAGAGCATAGAGGAGAGGATGAATCAGGCAGCGCATCATCAAACCCTGATTGTCCCATCACCCAATTCCTGTGCTATCTTCCCAGGAGAGGACCCAGTGAGGTGAGAGAGCAGATGATGCCGAAGCATTTTATATTTGTAAAAGTCCATCTGATACCCTGAACAAGCTCCTTCAGCACAACTCTCTGAGGTAAGGCAGCATTTTTAGTTTGTTTAAAAATAGTCTGGGCGGCCGGTGTGCACACGTGTGCTTTGCTCACAGGTGGGAGGAGCAGTGCTCACCAGCACCCTAACAGAGTGAAGAGGGGAGAAGTCTCGGGCTCCCTGGACAGCTTTCCTCTCAGAAAGGGACAGAGGGGGGTGGTCTTCTTTCGTGAGCTCCTGGGGCTTTTAAAAGGGGAAAAGCGACCCCAAAATACAGTACTCTGATGGAGAGATGGGATAGCGGGGAAACAATGCCTTCTAACTCCACCAGGCTCCAAAGAGGGAAAGAAAAACGAATTTGGGTGGGTCCAAAACAGTGCCCCTGTGCTGGGGAGAAGGTCAGCTCGCCCACAGCCACCCACCTGCTGAGGAAAAGCTGAGGGAGCTGCCCAGGGCAGCCCATCTGGGCAGCACTTCCCAGGGGCAGAAGGGGAATGTCCTGCTCCAGGTTACACCCCCTAGGGCAGGAGCTGGGGCAGGATTTTCCTCATCCCCTGACCCTGAGGACATCCGGCCTGGGCTGGGGCCAGTGGCATCAAAGCCCCTGGGAGTTTATCAACTGCCCCAGGGCACAGCCAAGACCTCCCTGAGCCCCAGGCTCTCTGTCTGTGGCTCTGCCTCTGCCTTGAAATAGTCTCTTCCACAGCCAATGTCAAACCAGCCAGTTGTTTGAAGAATAAAGTCCCTTAACGTTCTCATTTACAGCTGGGCAGTACACAAAGTGATGTAACCTTTCCGGAGGACAATGTAGCAATTAGTATTGGGCTTCAAAACTACTCAGACCCTTGTGCTAATAAGTTCTGCTTTATAAATTTCCCCAAAGCAAAGAATGTCTAACAATAGAGGAAGAGAAAAATACATACCGTGCGTCTACTTGGTGAAACCCGAGTGTTAAATATTTAATGATAAGGGAAAGTGCTAACCGCATAATGCACAATTTTAAAAGGCAGAGTAAAGACTGTACACAGAGTATGATCTCGAGATTTTTATTATTGCAACAGTTGCTATAAGAAGAAAGGTCCTTGTTTAAACAAATTCCTTTCTAAGCCACTTGTCTGCATTAGCTGGACAGGTTGAGGGAGGGGTGCTGACAGGTGTGCGAAGCAACCGATTGGGGGTGGTGGGAGGAAGGTGGGGAAGAAAGGCGTGGAACCAAGGAGGAGGCACAGAGCACAAGTGACTGGGTCTGAGAGCTCCCAGAGTGCGGAACTCATAGCTCCTCCCCATGCGGGCCGTCCCAGGGCATGGACACCTGCTCTTCTCTTTCAAGGTGCTACTGTGGCTACGAGCTAAACCCCAAAACTGTCTCCACCCAAAATTTTCAGTAAAATCGACTACATTAATAAATGCTTTCCCTTTAGAATAGAAATCCAAAGAAGGACTCACTCTCCATCTTAGTTCATGAAATGCAGAACAACACAGGAAAACTAGCTGTAGAAATAAGAAGCTTGCTGGTACGAGTGACCTTAGAGGACCTAAGGCTCTCTGGAGTCTCCTAGCACATTGCGGAGGACTTGTCCTGGGTCAGGGGACATAGCTGAGCCTCTCCAGAGTGAGGGAGGCTGGGAATAAATCCTCACTGATATCTCACTCAGGTACAAATATACACACGTAACAGGTACTCATAGAATGTCTCGTGGGATTTTAAAAGGATGGACACCCAGGTGGAGGGATTAGGATGTTATTTGTTCTCCTTTTTGTATAGTTTAAACACAACTTTTATAATTTGGGAAAAAAACAATAACCTGTAAACACGAAGCGCCATCATCCCGAGTGGCGTTGTGAAATCTGTGCTTCCCCTTCGGTGCTCTGCCTCTAGGTTGATGAGGAGTTTGGGTGGCCCCAATCCCACCACGGATGCTGATTACTGGGGTAACTGAGGTCAGCTTGGTGTCCCAGGGGTGCTCCCACCTGCCACACACAGAGATCACACGAAGCCCCCAGGACAGAGCTCAGAGACAAGCTGGACACCAGCCAGTCTGCTCTGCACCCAGAGCTTTCTGCAGGTCACAGAAACAAGTCCACCAAGGCCCACCCAGTGCCCTGCAAGTCCCAGCTCCCTGACAGTCACTGAGGGACAGCAGGGACCAGTTGCCTGGCTCCTCCGCCCCTTCTGAGCTCCTCTGTTTACACACATCTCCTGAAATCCTGCGACGGCATTTCATTTTTGTCTTTGAATATCTTTCTTATCTTTACAATGTAGCAGAAACCTACGTTGCTGGATTAATTGTTCTCTCCCCTCTTTTCTTTCATCAAAGGCAAAGTTTACCTGTAATAAACAGAAGAAGAGACCGTTAACCCATGTGCCCCCTGCACTTTTTGGGTGAACAAGTCAAAGGTTTCAGTCTCAGATGATAACCTGTATTAATATTTCACGTCTGAAACTCTTCTACGCTTACCAAGGAGGGGGATGGGAAATTGCTTTTCTCCTCAGACCGTTTTCAGAAAAAGAGGCAGTTGAGAAAAATTTCTTGGAGGGTCCTTTCTCTGGAAAACACCATTGTTTTGGGTTTGTTTGTTTGTTTTTTACTGTGCCAACTTAGGCTTGGCAGAAGTCTCTGTAGACATCTCTATCTATTCTCTCTTTCCAGAAGGAAAAATAAATAAAATAAAACAAAACTCGACAATAATAAAAAAATTTAGAGGAAGAGACAAAAATCTTATTTACTTTATAAAATTATAAACATATACAAGGGTGGAGGGGGTGAAGGGAGGGCTAGGAATGGGGAAAAAATAAGAACCAAGATGCATTATGTAAAGGTACAATTCCCAATGAGAAATGTAATTGTGTTGTATACCTACAATGTACCAATAAAAGAATTTAATACATTAAAAAATAATAATAAAAAATAAATAAATAAATAAACATATACAAATAATTCTATGTTATTTCTATCAAATATAATACCTCTCATTTGTGTATATATTTTATGATTAAATATATAAATATACGTGCATTGCATTGTTCTTTGACATTTAATATGAATTTTATTAGATTCCAGCAAAATGAATAGAAGGAATTAATAAAGACAATATTCAAAGATATAAAAATGAGAATTTTCCTGAATTGATGAAATTTGCAATTTCTTAATACTATATTTTCTGGGAAAGAATGGAAAAAGAAATATTAGTTATGTAACCAATTCTGCTTGTTACTGCTGCACGGTCATGGATGTAAAAACTTTTGTTATTATTTGTTGTTGCTGTTGTTCCATGGAGGAATTTTAATCTCAGGGAACATAAAACATCAGATACTTCATTATTGCTACAAAAAATAAAAGTTTTTGTTTTTGAATACATATAGACAATGCTTTTTTCAAAAGTTAAGTAATATTTAATTCTTATCAGGCTTCAAGTAAATAACCTTTGGTAGTAAACAGTAATAAAAGTTTATAGAATTGGGTATTGTTTGCCTGTAAGAACTTGGCATTTTAGACTACATAATCCCTTCCCAGCCCTTCCATTAGCCTTGAAGCATAACAGCTGTGCTTTTTTTTCATTAATAGGTACAAAATTACAGATGTAAAGTAGGAAGAGGTTCTAGTGTTCAATAGTACAGTAAGTTAACTATAACACTAACATAGTATATGAACATGATCAAAAATACAGTGAATTCTTAAATTCTTAAAAATCATTATGGTAAAAGGTGTATTGCCGTTACTCCCCCTCAAAATACTCCTCTTCCCTTCAAACTTATCCCATTGCTCTTTCTGAAGCAGTTCTGGAAGTCCTCTTTCGGGAGTGTCTTCAGCTACACTATCATAGCTGCTCCAGGTCCTAAATTGATTCAAAGTATTTACCTTTCATGGTCATGTTGACTTTGGGGAAGAGCCAGAAGTTGTGTGGCACCAGATCTAGTGGGTAAGATGGATGAGGACACAGCGTAATGTTTTAGGAGCCTGCCTTTCCTTTGGTTGGCAGGCAGCAGAAGCATTCACCATATTTTTGATCACCCCTCATGAAGATATGAAAGAAGACTTCCAGAACTGCTTCAGAAAGTGGTAAGAATGATGGGAAAAGTATGTCGGAGGAAAGTGGGGAGTACTTGGAAGGGGATTAATGGCAGGGTATCTTTTATTGTAATATATTTTTAAAATTTAAACTTCACCATATATTGTGATTGCAGCACATATACTTCAAAATAGCAGTGAGGAGTTTGAATATTGTCACCACAAAGAAACACTAAATATTTGAGGTGACCAACTCATTAGGTTCATTCCATCATCCCTGTTGCTCTCACATATTGAGTCATTACACTGTACCCCATAAAATGTGTCAATTAAAAAAAAGTTATTTTTTCCTGGAAAACAATAACTTAGGCTTCCTAAGTGTGAATTTGGGTTGTTCTTGTTTGGAAATGTTGTCTAAGCACAATGGAGTCACACTTGTAGAAAACAGATACTTAATCCAATCACAAGTTTTCTCTTCAAATCCTCAGAGACAATGAATGGCCTCTTTCCAGGCCTATCTCGGCTTTGCCCCACCCGCGGGCCTGGATGGAGAGTGGACAACAGTGGAGAGACTTGGGGAGCGTCGATGAAGATGTTAGTTTAAGCCAGCCTGCTCCTCATTGCCTAAGATCTTCTCCCTGGGTTTTTCCAGTTGGGGTTTGAGCATCAAGTCAGAAGAAGGGCACTGAGAGGGGAAGGGAGCGGAAGAAAGACCAAGTCACGTCCACCCAAAGGCCTGAGAGAAAAAAGGCAACATGAGCGGAGGCCACAGGAGCAGGCTCAGCAGGCTGCTCCTCACTGCTCCTGCAGGCAGGGAGGGATCAGCCCCTTAACCTCCGAGCAATTACATTGGTCCCCAGGGCCGAGGGGCACAGTTACAGCAAATGGAACCCCAGAGCTGCCAAAGTACAGCTTCTTTCTTCCCATTTCTTCCTAGAATCGAGTTTGGATATAGGTTTCTCTTGGATTCTATGAAATCCCAGGCATTTTGGTGAGGAATTCCCAACCTTTGTTACCTGTAAAATAAACAAAATCCAGCACTTCCCTTCCCCACTTCCTTAAAACGTTAGGGTTGTTTAAAACAGAATATTAACTCACAGAAGCACCCAGCGCATCCCCATTTTTAAGGCCGGGCCACCTAGGCTCCAAGAAGCAAAGAAACACATTCAGGGACACACAGGCAGGAATGGAGATCAGGTCTCATTATCCTGCAAGGGCAGGTGCTTTGACCTCAGTTCCAGATATTCACCTCGACGGAGAGGTGGGTGTGGCCTGCGGAGCCCTGAGCTTCCGCACACAGGATTTCATCCTAAGTGAATGACAAGCGCCTTCCGCAGCCCTGTCTCCGGGCAAGTGCTAGGAGGGGCTGAGGGACTACAGCAGGTGACCCCTTAGACCCTTCCAAGGGCCCGGGAGCGGGGAGAGAGGGCAGGCAGGGGCAGCGGGGCATCACAGGGCTGGCAGGAGTGAGGGGGAATGCTTAGGATGGGGTTGACACTGGGCTGTACACGTCACAGAAGCGCTGTGCTCACCGCAGCAGACGCTGTCAACCCTGAGTTTAAAGGTTTCTGTGTTCAGAGCCCAGGCACAAGTGTCTTTCCTTGAGGAAAAAAAAAAAAAAAAAAACCTTGCAAAGTTGGTTTTATTTGTCTTATAAAAGTATAAATACAAGGAAATCTGTAAGATTAAAAACTAAGGATGAATACCATGAGACCCTGGCACAACTCAGTGGATACTGCCACAAAAGGTCTCGATGCAAGGCCTGCTGATTGACCGTCCTGGCACGCTGTCAGACAGCCCATGTGGCCACGTCCCTCACCATCCACAGCTGCATGCCTCTCTGGGCTACACACAAGAGGACCTGTTGATCTGTCCCTCCCACAGGGGCTTGTCACAGCTTCCGGGGGCTAGTGTGGTCTCTGGGGAAGTGCCTGCCAGTTTCCTGGCTTTAGTCACCCTCCATTGTAGATGAGTATCTATCTCTGTACAATTAAAAGAGTTTGGTGGCTTCTGGCCCCCTTTTTCTGTTCTACAGGAGTGGGTATGGTCGTGGGGTTCTGGGAACCGCTATGGACCTGCTCTAGTCTTGCCTGTGTGCAAACACAAAAGCCTCAACGGGACCAGGGCCGACGGAAAGGGTTTGGCCAAGCCCCAAAGAAAATAAAAGGATTCAACCCCAAGGAAGCAGACAGTCCTGATTCCGGGCACACGAGGTAAATGCGGAATGGAAATCCAACTATTGCAGAGAGCGATTGCTCAGATGGAGCAAATGTGCTGTGAAATCAGCCCTCGGAAAATCATCTGGAGTTCATCTTAGTGAAATCCAAAAACAATAACTGCCTCCCCCAGCCTGCGCCGGAGGGGGCCTCAGGAGCTCCCCTTGTCAAAAGCCCGGAAAGCCGCTGCAGGAGCCCGGCCCTAGGTCTCCCAACTCTGCCCTTGTTTATTTACAAACCTGCCTTTCTTTCCCACCTCAGTTCATCCTTCAGCTCTGCCCCCCTTGGCCCCCTGGAGAGCTCGGAGCATCCATCATGCCTCTCACACTGCAGGCAGCAGAGACACACATAAAAAGAGAGGCCCTTAACTCCATGCTACCTGGCACCAGGAGGCAAGCTGGAGCCTGCACGGTTGGAGGGAGGGCAGAGGGGCGCTGATGTGCCCCCAGAGTTCCTGCTCCTCAGGTGGGGGATAGGAAAGGGCAGCGGGGAGAGAGTGAGACGGGAGGTGCTGACATTTCCTAGAAAACAGAAGCCCTGAGCTGGATTTTGTGTATCACAGTGCACATTCTAAAAAGGAGAAGCTGCCCTGGGGCTGAGCGTGCTGCATTCCCAGTGGCACCAGGAGCTCAGCCCAGGGAAAGGCCATGTCTCCTCCAGCCAGGAGGCTTTGGTCTTCGGCCCCCTCGTTACTGCATTCGCTCCTACAGCTCAGGTTGGTTGGAGCTCTGAGTAATTCACAGTTGCCTTCTACAGGACGGGCAGTTTTTGGTAGGGCAGCAGACAAAGCGAAGCGGGGGGCTTTTCTGAAGACTGTCGGTTCCTGTCCCCAAACCTCCCGTCTTGCGTCAGAGGTGGAAGCCAGCCCGCTGGGTGTGTAATCTCACTGGAAAAACTCAGATAGTCAGGCTGAAGCAGAGGAGTTGGAGGGAAGCATGGGAGGATGTTTGCAAGCTGCTTAGCAGATGAAAGTGACAACATGTCAAAATTTCCAAGCTGGTTTCCAAAGCTTTATGTTAATGGGTCTTCCAGAAGCTCCTTGCTTAACAACCTAAAGGGGTTTGGTTCCCAACTTTTCCTGCCGCAGTGCACAGGATGATGTTCATGCAACACATTTCCATCAACCAACACTTGTACAGAATTCCAGCACACCAGCAGCTGTCTTCCACCTCTTTTCCAACCGTGAAAGCAAATCAGAATAAAGGTGATTGTGATGAACTTTATTATGGGGTAATCTCGAATCCATTTCTAAAATACTGGTGTACAAGGCCTGAAGGTGTAGCTCAGAGGTAAAATGCTTGCCTAGCATCCATGAGGCCCTGGGTTCAATCTCCAGTATTTAAAAAAATTTAATATACAAGTCAGTCACACACTTTGATATGTTGCTGTGGGGATAGACGACTGCTGTCTGTGCACAGTCCTGTGGGAACTATGGTGAGGAAGAGAACTGGAGCCAGCACAGAGCTTCCTGCATGCATGGGTGT